CAATTCCCCTGATTCTCAAGATTAAAATAGATGTATTTTTATTGTATTACGATGCATGTACTGGATTTGGCGATTAAAACAAATAATAATGCCTCAATTTTGCCAATGATGATCTTTACTTTTTTTGTTCACTACGCCACTTGGCTATTTTAAAATGGGAAAAACTCGTGAGTTGAGTGAGTTTGAGCGTGGGCAAATTATTGGCCTCTGGAAAGGAATAAGAACTCATGAAGCTATCAGTCATGTCCTAAAAATTCCAAAAAGTACCATTACAGACACAATTGCCTGATACAAAAATTTTAACACTGGATTAACAACTAAAAGAACTGGAAGACCATGTTCCATGAATAATAATGATCATCGTAAACTTTTGAAAATTATTAAAAAGAATAATAAACTTTCTTTGGGTGAAATTCAGCAGAAATTTCATAGTTCACAGGATAAACAGATTTCAGCTAACACTATTCGTAAAAACCTTCATCAAATGCAAATTTATTCCCAGGTTGCTGTACCGAAACCACTTCTTACAGAGTCTCAACGTGAAAAATGGTTGTCATAGTGCATAGAACGGCAAAGTTGGTCTGTGCAATAATGGAAAACTATCATCTGGAGTGACGAATCCAGATTTACACTTTTTCAAAATGATGGTCCTAGTCATGTTTGGCGAAAAAATGGAACCCAATACAATATCGAAAATTTGACTCCTACAGTTAAACATAGTGGTGGTGGTGTTATGATGTAGGGATGCTTTTCAGGAAAAGGACTGGGACCATTGGTAAAAGTAGACGGTAAAATGAATAGGTTAGATTATATTGATATTTTAGAAAAAAATTTACTGCCATTCATTCGATCAAAACATCACAGGCAACGTTACGCATTTCAGGATGACAATGCTCCAGTTCATACTGCAAGAGATGTTAAAAATTGGATTGTACAGAAAAAGATTAAGATTCTTCCGGATTGGCCTTCTCAATCTCCGGATCTTAATCCTATTGAACATTTGTGGCATGAACTTGAACGAAGACTTCAAAAATGATCTGCACATTTAAAGAATTTTCGTAAACTTGAAGAAGCATTGCAAGATGAGTGGGAAAGAATCCCACCTGAAACTTACATTAATTTAATTAAGAGCATGCCACGTCGAATTGAAGCATGCATTAAAAACAATAGATGGCCAACTAAATACTAATTATTATTAATAAAAATATAATCTTTATTATTTGACTGGATACTTTTGGGAGGGTAGTATATGTAAGTAAGCGTGATTATAATAGGACATGATCGCATCTATAACTGTCTCTTATACACATCTAGATGTGTATAAGAGACAGGATGTAGGGATGCTTTTCAGGAAAAGGACTGGGACCATTGGTAAAAGTAGACGGTAAAATGAATAGGTTAGATTATATTGATATTTTAGAAAAAAATTTACTGCCATTCATTCGATCAAAACATCACAGGCAACGTTACGCATTTCAGGATGACAATGCTCCAGTTCATACTGCAAGAGATGTTAAAAATTGGATTGTACAGAAAAAGATTAAGATTCTTCCGGATTGGCCTTCTCAATCTCCGGATCTTAATCCTATTGAACATTTGTGGCATGAACTTGAACGAAGACTTCAAAAATGATCTGCACATTTAAAGAATTTTCGTAAACTTGAAGAAGCATTGCAAGATGAGTGGGAAAGAATCCCACCTGAAACTTACATTAATTTAATTAAGAGCATGCCACGTCGAATTGAAGCATGCATTAAAAACAATAGATGGCCAACTAAATACTAATTATTATTAATAAAAATATAATCTTTATTATTTGACTGGATACTTTTGGGAGGGTAGTATATGTAAGTAAGCGTGATTATAATAGGACATGATCGCATCTATAATAAAGTATTAAAAAAAAAAAAAAATAATAATAATTCTAATTTTTTAATAAACCAAAAACTTATTACTGATTTTGCTAAATAAAAATTTAAAAATAACAAAAAATCTAGTTTAATAATCAACTTTTTAACATTAACAAAAGTTGTTTATTTTGTCAAATTGCACCTATGAACAAAGTTTTAAAGGTGATTCTTCGCTTAGTTATCTATCTCATTTTTTACTATAAAAATAGTTTACGCAAACTATATATAAAAGTCACGTGATTTACCGCAATGCAGTAATTTTGACGATCTTTGTCGCACAAATTTTATTTTTTATTTTATTTGAAAATAACTCAAAATGATAGGCAAAATCTTCATTTTTATATTTCCAAAGTTTCCAAAGTATTAGTTTTTTATTCATGGACTTTACTTTGGAAGAACATGGCATTTCATTTTGGCTGATCATTTTCTATCGTTAAGTAATGAATCGTCACTTAACTAATAAAAAACGTTTCGCAACATTTTCTATTAAGTTATTGAAAAAAAATGTTGCGAAACGTTTTTTTAATCAAATTAACAAATAAAAACGTTTTGCAACGTTTTTATTAAATTATCAAAAAAAAAACGTTGTAAAACTTTTTTTTAATTAATTAACTAATAAAAAACATTTCGCAATGTTTTCTATTAAGTTATTGAAAAAAAATGTTGTGAAACATTTTTTTTTAAATAAATTAACAAATAAAAACATTTCGCAACATTTTTATTTAATTATAAAAAAAAAACGTTGCAAAATGTTTTTTTTTAATTAATTAACTAATAAAAAACGTTTCGCAACATTTTCTATTAAGTTATTGAAAAAAAATGTTGTGAAATGTTTTTTTTAAATATATTAACAAATAAAAACGTTTCGCAACATTTTTATTAAATTATCAAAAAAAAATGTTGCGAAATGTTTTTTTTTAAAATAAATTAACAAATAAAAATGTTGTGAAACAATTTTTTTTTAATTAATTAACTAATAAAAAACGTTTCGCAACGTTTTCTATTAAGTTATGAAAAAAAACGTTGCAAAATGTTTTTTTTAAAATAAATTAATAAATAAAAACATTTTGCAACGTTTTTATTAAATTGTCAAAAAAAAAACATTGCGAAACGTTTTTTTTAAATAAATTAACTAATAAAAACATTTTGCAACATTTTTATTAAATTGTCAAAAAAACGTTTCATGACATTTTTTATCAAGCGTCACGAAACATTTGGCAAATCAGTTCAGTAAATTTACCGAAATGATCAGTAAAATTTACCGAAACTGATACCAAAAATATCAGTTTGGTAAATCAGTTTGGTAAATCGCAAAACCGATACTGAAACTGAAGTTACTAAAACTAATTGGTAAATTTACCGAAAGGTTCAGTTTGGTAAATCAGAATACCAAAACCGTTCTGATACTGAAACTGATCGGAGCCCTAGCTAGTTGTCCTAAGAACTTGCAACATTTGTTCTAATAAGAAAGCGAAAGTCTCTTTATCAAGTAGCTTGAGAAAGTCCCCAAGTTCTTGTAAAATAAAGTTATTAGTAGTAGAAGCCATTTTTTATAATATATTTTTTAAAAATATTATTGCTGAAATTTCGTTAAAAAATGGTCCATACAATCAGTGGAAAGAGTTCTCTGATTATTAATTTATTAATGTAATAAATTATGCTATTTTTTAATAAAATAATTTAACTATTTAATATATTGATATTATTTGATAAGTAATAATATTTAAACTACCTAAAAATTAAATAAAAAGCTACCTACAAATTACTTAAAATAATCTACTATATAATAATTGTTTTCCTGTGTGACAGTCACGTTTAGATTACATATTTATATCTGTGTTCCTGTAACGTTTAGACTACAATTTATACCTGTGTATCCGTAACATTTAGATTACGAATTTATACTGTGCACCCGAAAGACTGTATAAAATTACGTATAACATTTAACCATCGTACTGATTATGTGTATGTTTATCTGACATTGTGGAGTAACAAGTTCAACAGCTAGTCTAATTACATAAATATTTAGTTGTTTATAAGTATTGTAAAAGCTGCTAATTATTAAATTATTAGACTATTTATAGGGAATTTATAGGTCACTTATTTATAATTTATTAAACTATCTATAATTTTTATAAATTTTCATTTAAAAGTTATTTATTGAAAAAATTAAGTCCTCAAGATAACTTAATTGTATTATTTAGATTAAAATTCATATCTGCTAATAGTTGGTATTTAAGTAATTGGTAAGTAACATAGCAATATTAAATTATTAAGTTTCAGTAAAGAAAATACTAAACCATATTAAAATAGTTTAGGAAATTTTATATTACATTATTATGATTTTTTTTCTTTTTAGTTAATTAACAAATAAAATTTAAAAAAATCCTAAAATAAGATTTTATATGAAAATAAAATTTTCACTAGTAATATATTTTAGTAAGTTGAAGTGTTTCTAAATGTTTTATTTTTTATTTTAATTTTAATTTTTATTAAAATATTTTTTAATATCTTAAATATTATTTTAAAAAAATTTATTGAAATATTTTTTAATGTTTTATTTTTTATTTTTAATTTTTTATTGAAATATTTTATATTAATATTTCAAATGTTATTTTTTTTTTTTTAAACTTTATTATAGATGCGATTATGTCTTATTATAATCACGCTTACTTACATATATAAACTTACAAATATAAGATAAACAAATATATATAAGAATTAAGCNTTTTTTTTCTTTTTAGTTAATTAACAAATAAAATTTAAAAAAATCCTAAAATAAGATTTTATATGAAAATAAAATTTTCACTAGTAATATATTTTAGTAAGTTGAAGTGTTTCTAAATGTTTTATTTTTTATTTTAATTTTAATTTTTATTAAAATATTTTTTAATATCTTAAATATTATTTTAAAAAAATTTATTGAAATATTTTTTAATGTTTTATTTTTTATTTTTAATTTTTTATTGAAATATTTTATATTAATATTTCAAATGTTTTTTTTTTTTTTTTAAACTTTATTATAGATGCGATTATGTCTTATTATAATCACGCTTACTTACATATATAAACTTACAAATATAAGATAAACAAATATATATAAGAATTAAGCATTATGAAACACGACTACTTTTCATAAAGAACAAGTCGACCTGTCACCTAAACGATCATATCATTGTTAAAAACCAGGATGCGACCTCAAATTCAAAGGTGACTGTCATGATCTACCTAAAAATTTACCCAATGACCACCACGATGGAATGCCAAATTATTCCATTTATTCCAATTACTTTCTAATATATTACAGTCAACATCTTTGACACCTATTTCAGTGCGTTTACTATGTGACTTAGCTTTTTTATCTTTACTGCTAATACTGCATCGCTTTTCTTCCTTTATTTGTAACTCGTTCCTTGGTTTCCAAATAAGCACTTTGAATTCTAATAAAACTCTTCCGGTTATTTGCTTCAGCACTTTATATAACAATTTTTCTTCAGTTATTTTAAAGTACCTTAAAAATTCTATTAACTGACAATTGACTTGATTCTTCATTAAAAATGTAAAATCATATGAGCATCCAATTTCCCACATACCAAGCCCATTAATTTTACTTTTTAATTCTTGTGTATCTATATTATCTCTTGAATACTCCTGTATAATTTTAACTAAAAAAATTTTTAATCACTACACATTATAAATAACATGCATGTATGATTCTTTCTTTATTAAAAAAGCTGTATGTACATACTATCAAATACAGAATGATTATTTTTAAAAATTTATTAGAATATTTTCAACATTCTATTTTTTTTTATTTTTAATTTTTATTAAAGAGTGATTTTAACACTCACCAGTAGTTAAATTCACCCAAGGTAAAGTTCACCTATATTACATAATTTATTAAAATTTAAATTGTTTTGTTTTGAAAAAAATAATAATTTTATTAATAAAAATATTTATATAAAATATATAGTTTAAATATAATAATATATTATACAATAATTTATAAGTTAGTATTATTATAAAAAATGGATAAATCCTACAAATATTAAGTAGATTTTATACTGCTAAACAACTTTCAATTAATAAAGAAAGTAAATTTCATTTGACTAAAGTGGTGAAATTATGCTCTAAAGTTAGTAAATGGAAAAAAGAAAAATTCGAAAGTTAGTACCATTATGAAAAATGTTGGTTTCTCCATATATATTATACCTACATCCCAAGTGGTATAAGTTGTAGTGACCATTCAGACAGAAAGTAGTAGGCTAGTATCCAGGATCACCCCTTAAGGTGGATATCAACCACCAGAGATCACCAATTAGAATCCAAAGAGTAGAGAATCGAACCTCATAATTATGCTACCTGTTCTGTGCACAAACACCTTGGTTGACCTATGATCTAACAAAAGGTCAAACTACCACTAAGACATTGCATTCTCAACTTTACCATCTAGAATGATCATCTAACCATTACTGACCCTAAGTGGTATCGTAGAGTGATTACCTGGATAGGAAGTCCCTTAAGATATAGTAATGACCTTAAGGACAGAACTGCATATATGCCAATGGCCTCATAGAGAATATTAGAAGGATACTATAACCCTTTGTTAAAATGTGCAGCCTAACTGTATACACTAATTCACTATAATGCAGTCCAACTACACTAATCCCTGTACCTTCATGCTATTGGTTGTAGCATCTACAGTAAAATTCTTTTTATTTTTGTGGTCATAAGAATCGAACCTACGATTTTACCATACTCAGGCTATATGAGGAATGCCACCACCTTAACGACTGCACTAGGGTAACCAACCCTAGTTTCATTTTTCTACTGTGCAAACAGTCTTACGACTTTATCTTTTATTTATACAGTCAACTCCCTCTATAGTCACTCCCGTTATAGTCACATTCTACTATATAGTCACACCAGTTGAATGTTCAAAACACTTTATTATTAAAATCTATCCTATATAGTCACAATCTATCTATAGTCACTATCACACCTATCCTCAAAAATCTTATATTAAAAAGAACCGTTTATAATCACAGTTATATAAAGAATATATTAAATAACTTGGCATCTAATAATCGTACAAAGATGTATCATAGCTTGTTAGAATCGTCTCACTGAGACGAATCGAATGGTGGTAGTTTTATCCTTTTC